TTATACAAATAAAAATAAATCTTTTTAAAGCAATCTTAAAAATCATTGTTCTGTCAAAAGCAAAGACCCCAACCTACATCTCCAATGATCATGCTTCTTTCTAAACCCCCGGTGACTGATACTTTTAGTCCTGTACTTCAGCTTAGAGAACAAGATGAGGAAAAAATTAAGAACTATATTTTTAATCTTTGGTTATATTTCCTTTTGGGTGTTTAAGGCCACACAGTTGGACCAGATAAACTGATTTATTTTTACTCTTAAGGTCCTTTGAGGATCTGTTCTTCAGGGGTCACATGGGCTTGAGAGGTGCCCCTGGCTCCTTTCTTTTACCAGTTCTGCCTATACGAAGATAAGTCAAAGGTCCTGCTTGTCCATGGTTGGCTTCGCTTGGTAGCATGGAGGAAGTGATTCCTCTGTGTTGACCCTCCTCTTTATAGACTGGACAGTGGTTCAGGTCCATCTGGTGGGGTCTCCTCGGCCTCCTTGATCAAGAAGACAGGTGACCCACCACCATTATAGGACATTTTGAGAGATGCTCATAGTCCCCTGGAACTAGTCAACCTAGGAGAGCTAAGTTCAAATAAACCAGGAGACAAACACCACATGGTTAGACACATATGTACAGTCTAAAAATGTTGATCTCGTGAAATTGAAAATAGAAAGTGGCTTCAAAGGTTTAGGAGAGTAAGTAGAGAGGTTATTCAATTAAGTACGATGTCACAGTTAGATGGGAAGAATAAGTTCTGGTGTTGTACTGAACAGTAGGGTGACTGTAGCTAGCAACAATGTATTTTATGAAGAGAAAAATATTGATGATTTTGCTATGAAGGTACCACGGAGACTGACGGCAGACCAATATGAATTCAACAACTCTGCCACGAAAAAAACCAAAGTCCTGAATTTTATGTAAAAAAAAAAAAAGAATCAGATGTGATAAAATGAGGCCCTGGCTTCTGATGGCCAGTCTTTAATTCTAGACACCCTGTCCCTGTCATCAGGTACTGGCAGGGGTGGGGGCTCAGGTACCTAGACCTTTGCTGTCAAGTATCCTAGGGCAGCCCCAGCAAACAGTCACCAACCACCAATGGGGCTCAGCAGAACTGGCTTTTCACAGTTCCACAGACTGGAAAATATATCGTCAAGGCATGGGCAGGGATGTGTCCTCTGGGGGCTGCGGGGCTCCAAGGCCTTGCTCCTTGACTGGACCATCTGCTCCCCAGGCTCCTTTCTCTGACCCGTCTGTGTGTGTCCACATTTCTCCATCCAGTTGACTGACTGAGATGGAATCTCACTGTGTGGCCCAGGCTAGTCTCGGACTCCTGGGCCCCGGCGATCATCCTGTCCTGGCCTCTCAAGTGGCTAAAACGCAGGGGTTACACCAGTGCACCCAGCTCAAATCACTAAGAGCAACAGACAGTGGTACATCAAGGTCAGTCTCAGCTTAGCCAATCACCTGCAACTATTCTAAGTTCAATTGAGGCCGCTCTTGAGGTTAGAGGTCAAGACTTCATACAGATACAAAGATATTATAGCTCACCCCCAACACCTTCAAGTCTCATGTAGCCCAGGCTGGCCTTGAATTCAATAGATAGCCAAGGATGACCTTGAACTCCTGATTTTCCTGCCTCCACCTCCCAAATGCCAGAATTACATGTGTGAGCTACCACACTCAATTTATGTGGTGCTAGGGATCAAACCCAGGGCTTCACACATGTGGGCCATATGGTCAGCTGCGTAGCGGTCCTTTTCTGCTGGGTAGACAGGTAAATGTACATGTGTGTATACCTGTGTATAATTTTTCTGGTACCTCTGGCTCCTTCCGCCTACAGGGGGTACCCTTCCATGGTTTGATGCTCTGAGTTTTGCTTCCCAGGTCACCAGTGCCTTGAGGCATCTGGACCCTGCTGTTCATTACCTGACCTCAGCTGGTGGCGGGGACACATTCACCACGGCATCGTGGCTGCTGCTGGGCCTCCCTCAGCTCTGGCCTGTGGCCAACGTGTCTGCCATGCTGGATAACATGGTGAAACGCATCTATGAAGTGATCAGCATCCGTGTACAAGGTAGGCCCACCCTCTCAGGATGCTGCAAGGTCGACTCTGGGGCTAGACCTGGTCCTAAACACACGTTAAAGGAGGTTAATAAGCTCAGGATGGGCGATCGCTACTTTGGATGCATTCATCCTGCAGCGCTTGGGGGTGGCTTAGCCTATCTGCTTATTCTAGTCCAAACCAAGTTTAAACTCAGGTTCCCAAGTGAGGATTTTGAGACTTGCTTTGTTCTATCAGCAGCCCTATTCCCCAACCCACACACAGTCTCTTCCACTCCCTTCCAGCCTCCTAGTATGCCTGTCATCTGACCACGGCACACCGCACTGCAAACCTCGGAGGACACATGAGACTCTCAAACTGCTTCAGCCGCACTCTGACCTCCCAAATCCCCCTCTCCCAAAATTTCCCTATCAGTTGCCAAGATCCTCCTCTACCTAAAAGGTTCAATCAGCAGGGTTGTGCACAGCTGAGCTTGTACTTGCTAAAACCTGTGGATGTGGCCTTGTTTATACAGAAAAAAAATTATAACATCCCTGACTTTGTTTTTGAATTTTTTTGAATATATTTTTTTTATTTAAATTATTTGTTTAATAACCACATGATTAGAAGAAGCATTTCATTACAGGATTAACATATTCAATAACAATTTCCAGAGCAAAGATGCATGTCTTTCAATATTGGCTGTAAATTTTTAGGTTCAAGCTGAATTAATGCCTCAGTATAAATGCTATAAGATATAAAATTGAATGAGGTTTTAACCTTTAAAAAAGATCTCCATTTCATTTTAAAATATACTGTTTCCTACATACAGACTTTTT